TGATTGCATAATCTTTTATGAATCAATTTGAACCGTCTGAGTTCCCTCCTTGTGTCCCTTCACTTTGCACAGACAAATATTAAAGTAATGAGAAGAAACCTTGGTAAAATTTTACTCTCATAACCTAGTTATGGGAAGATGTAAGGTAAGTTATTTGCATAAATAACTCATCCCTACATTTCTTTTCAAACTATAATAAAACCGTCCTTTATTATGCCTGTCCCAAAATTTTTGCCACTTTACTTTGATCTTCTCTTTAATGACACTCTTTAACTCTGCTTTACTATAATTACATYGAAAGTCAACAACTTGTTTAGATGCCCCTTTCTTTGCATATTGGTCTGCTAACTCATTTTCTTAAACCCCTATGTGAGATGGCACCCAAAAAAACAAAAAAACAAACAAAAAAAACAACAACAACAACACAAATTCCCTTCTAATTTGGAATAATCTATATAATGTTTGTTGAATTTCATAAATAATATCCTGTCTTGACTCTGACTGAATGCTTGTTAATGCACTGCAGGAATCAGAAACTATTAACACTTTTTCTAAACCATTTTCCTCAATCCATGTTTATGCAATTAGAATAGCTAAAAGTTCACCTGTATAAACTGCTAAATTATCATTAGTCCCATTATGTTTTACAATGCCCAAATTTGGTATTACAAATGCAATACCAATTTTATTATCACTAGTTTTAGATGCATCTGTATATACAGCCATTTACTCTGAATAATATTTTCTGATATAACCCTCAACAACAGTACTACTGTAAGATTGACATTTTAACAGATTTAAATCTACACTTGCTTCATTATAAAACCAAGGAGCAATAGCAGCAATAGGAACGGTCAAACTTGATGTCAATTCTTGAAGACCAACCTCTTCTACAGTCCTTTTCACCACCCACCCAAAACTAGAAAACTTATTTATTGTCCTCTCCTGACAAGGATGTAGCATCTTTTGACCAGGATGATTTATATTTTATCCCTGTAAATTTGCCCAGTAAAATAGGGTTAGTTGACATCTCATTTCCAAAGGCAATTCTCCCATTTCTCCCTGGAGGGCTGCCACAGGGGTACTCCTCTTTGCTCCTGTGCAATAAAACCACTCTTTAAAAACAAGAGTGGTTTTAAAGGCTGAGCAATAATTACTTAAACAGGAAACACCTGGAAGTAATTAACAACTGAAGGCAAACACATAAAAAATGGAAATACAGGGAAAACAGGCTGAGATTGACACGAAAAACTCTGAAAAAACTCAAACGTACAAGCACCACCACACGATGACAAAAACAGGAGCAGTGTTCCACAAAGTGATACTTGAATAAAAGTACAAGTATCTTAGAAAAAAATGATTTTGGTGAAAGTTAAAGTCTTCTTTAGGAATACTATGTGAGTAAAAGTCTTAAAGTATCTGATATTTTTTGTACTTAAGTATTAAATGTAAAAGTATTGATTTAAAATGAGCAGTTAGATTTTCTGTAATGACATTTATGAAGAGGTGACCTCCCCTAAAAAAATGCAGAAATGATTATATCATATTAAGTAATTAATTTATGTTAAATTTAAGATGCACTAGTTCAGCTGTTTCAGTTTATATACATATATCAAGGCTGCACAAAGCTTTTCACCAAAATGAAAATCTATCTGAGGGCTGCAGTCAAATGTAATAATATAATTCATGAAATACAAATACTTCTTAAGTACAGTCTTTTTATTTTAATGATTATGTCCTGCTGGAGTGTGACATGATTTGTTTGTGTACAAACTAATACGCTATCAGAGTTTTATATGTTTATTCTTCTCATTCAACCACAATTAAATTCACTCTATCTAGGAGACACAATTTATCCATCCATCCATCCATC